CACTCCTCATTGACGCGGTCATTGGCAAGGTGGTTAAACGCAACCGTCGGAACCTCTCCGCCGCCTGGATAGACTACAAAAAGGCATTCGACTCGGTGCCTCATACATGGCTTAAGAGGGTCCTCGAGCTGTACAAGGTTGACTGTACGGTTCGAGACTTCCTCGGGCAGTGTATGGGGCAGTGGAGTACGATCCTTTGTCATCTAGACCAGCGGATGACGGCTGCGGAGAACCACATAAGGATAAGAAGGGGTATCTTCCAGGGCGATTGTTTGAGTCTAATCTGGTTCTGCCTCTCTCTGAACCCTCTCAGTACCTTACTGGAGGGTTCCGAGAGGGGATTTCAGCTTCGGAAAGGAGGTACAAAAATGACCCACCTTTCCTATATGGATGATCTGAAGTTATTCGCCTCCAGTAGCTCCCATCTTGTGGAATTGCTAAACATCACTTGGCAATTCTATTGGAATGGAGCTGGGGACGGATAAGTGTGCGATCCTCCATGTCAAAAGCGGAAGGGTTGCTAACTCTGAGGGCATGGACTTATCTATGCCCATCAGCATAAGGACCCTTTCCTAGGCTGAAACATACCGATACCTGGGTATGTCACAGAACATCGGTGTCGATGAGGCGGGTATGAAGCAGTCAGTTTGCGATGTGTTTTATGCACGCTTGACAAAAATGCTTAACAGTCTTTTGTCGGGCGTTAATAAGACACATGCTTATAACGGCTGGATCATGCCTGTTCTCATGTATACCTTTGGCTTACTCAGGTGGACTCAGATCGAACTGAACGCTCTGGACAGAAAAGTCCGCACTATAATGACGTCCCACAGAGTGCATCATCCGAGATCGTCGGTAATGAGGCTGTACTTGCCGCGGAAGCATGGTGGCTGCGGCTTTTTAAGCGCGCTTACCATGCATAATCGCGAAGTGTGCAGCCTCCGTAATTATTTTCTGTCGAGAGCGGATGATCCATTGTATAGGGACGTTATTTTTTGTGATAAAGGACTTACCCTTCTATCCTTAGCCAAAGAGCAATGGCAAGACCCAGCAGTACAGAGCATTTCCGACCGGGAGACCGTATGGAAGGAGAAGGAGCTCCACGGGAGGTTCTACAAGGGTCTACATGAGCTTTTCGTAGATACAGTTGCCTCCCTCCACTGGCTACGTTTTGGTGACCTCTTCGGGGAAACCAAGGGTTTTGTCTGTGCAATACAGGATCAGGTTATTAAGACCAACAACTATCGGCGATACATCCTAAGGGATGGCACCGTCGACATTTGTCTAGCTTGTCGCCATCCTGGTGAATCACTTAGGCATGTCATCTCCGGTCATTCGGCGCTTTCTAACTCTGAGTACTTGCATAGGCACAACCTAGTAGCCAGGATTCTACACCAGGAGCTCGCTCTAAAATACGGTCTCGTGGATCGGAAACTGCCTTAATATAAGTATATGCCGGAAGCCGTGCTCGAAAATAACCGCGCCAGGCTCTAGTGGGATCGGGCCATCATCACAGATAGGACCATTCTTGCGAATAAGCCTGATATTGTGCTGATGGACCGGGCACAGTCAAGGATATTTTTGGTCGACATTACCATTCCGTATGACGAGAACCTCGTGAAAGCCGAAACAGATAAGCGAACAAAATATCTGGACCTGGCTCACGAGGTGACCGACATGTGGGGTGGACTGCCGGCAGAAATTATAACTGTAGTCGTTTCTGCGAACGGGTTAATCCCAGTCAGCCTCTCGGGTCATCTGAGGCGACTGGGACTCCGTGACGGACCGTTCCAAGCTCAAATGCAGAAGGGGTGCTCCTCGATACCGCCCGCACCGTCCGCCGGTTTCTTTCCCTTTCCTCCTAACCCTCGGCCGTTTGGTCTCCCCTGCCGAGGGCTTCCATCTGGTTGGGTTTTTATTTATTTATGTATTTTTTATGTATTTATTTTATTTTGTTGATATTTATGTATGTTTATCATTTTCATTTACAATTATATATTTATACAGCCCAACCAGATGAGTAAACTATATAGATGCCCCAAATAATAATAATCACATCTTTACAGATCATCATCACATTACATCACATCACAGACAGGACTCTATTCTTGCGAATAAGCCTGATATTGTGCTGAGGGACCGGGCACAATCAAGGATATTTTTGGTAGACATTACCATTCCGTATTACGATAACCTCGTAAAAGCCGAAACAGATAAGCGAACAGAATATCTGGACCTGGCCCACGAGGTAACCGATATGTGGGATGGCCTGCCGAACGAAATTATACCTGTTGTCGTTTCTGCGAACGGGCTAATCCCAGTCAGCCTCTCGGGTCATCTGAGGCGACTGGGACTCCGTGACGGCCCGCTCCGGGCTCGAATGCAGAAGGCGGTGCTCCTTGATACCGCCCGCATCGTATGCCGGTTTCTCTTCCTTTCGCCCTAACCCCTAACGCTCGGCCGTTAGGTCACGCTTGGCGAGGGTTTCCATCTGGTTGGCTTTTTATTTACTATCGTATTCTTCATGTATTTAATTCACTATATTAATATATTTATATTTATGTATATTTATCAAATCCATTTATAAATTTGTGCAGCTCAGCCAGATGAGAAAACTATTTTAATACCCACCATAATAATAATAATAATAATTTAACTAACAATTTAATTTAGTTTTTACAGTCTTTTGTCCGGTGTGAATAAGACACATGCATATTATAACGGTTGGATCATGCCTGTTCGCATGTACACCTTTAGCATACTTAGGTGGACTCAGACCGAACAGAATGCTCTGGACAGAAAAGTCCGCACTATTATGACGTCCCACAGGATGCATCATCCAAGATCGTCAGTAATGAGGCTGTACTTGCCGCGGAAGCATGGTGGGCGCAGCTATTTAAGCGCGCTTACCATGCATAATCGCGAAGTGTGCAGCCTCCATAATTACTTTCTGACGAGACCGGATGGTCTATTCTATAGGGACGTTATTTCTTGTGATAAAGGGCTTACCCCTCTATCCTTAGCCACCGAGCAATGGCAAGACCCGGCAGTACAGAGCATTTTCGACCGGGAGACCGTATGGAAGGAGAGGGAGCTCCACGGGAGGTTTTACAAGGCTCTACATTACATCTATGGAAATGAGTAGAAACCATATAATTGCTATTCATAGGTTACGTTCTGGGCACTATCCCAATAAAAAAATTGTATTTTTGATGAAAAAATCAGACTCGCCCAATTGCGATATTTGTCATATTATAGAAGATGTCCAACATGTGCTAGCAGAATGTGTCAAATATCAAAGGGAAAGGGAGAATCTGGTGCAAAAATTTAATATCAATTTGAGTGAAACGGGTTGGTTTTTGGGTATACTTGAAGAGCCACACTCAGTAGTAGCAAAATCATTCCTTTCAATATTCTTACCACATTGATTCCCCCTTTGTAAATAGCATTTGTGTAACACGAATAAGCTAGGTTACGATAAGGCTGACATATCCTTGTAGGATATAAGCCTTTTTTAAATAAAGATAGATAATAAAAAAAAGGCTCTACACGAACCTTTCGTAGATACAGTCGCCTCCCTCCACTGGTCACGTTTCGGTGACCTCTTTGGGGAAACCGAGGGTTTTGTCTGTGCAATACAGGATCAGGTTATTAAGACCAACAATTATCGGAAATACATCCTAAAAGAATGGCGCCGTCGATATCTGTCGAGCTAGTCGCCATCCCGGTGAGTCTCTTAGGCACGTCATCTCCGGTTGTTCGGCGCTTTCTTACTTTGAGTATTTGCACAGACAAAACCTAGTAGCCAGGATTCTACACCAGGAGTACGCTCTGAAATACGGTCTCGTGGATTGGAAACTGCCATATTATAAGTATTTGCCGGAGATCGTGCTCGAAAATTATCGCGCCAGGCTCTACTGGGACCGGGCCATCATCACAGACAGGAATATTCTTGCGAATAAGCCTGTTATTGTGCTGATGGACCGGGCACAGTCAAGGATATTTTTGGTCGACATTACCATTCCTTATGACGAGAACCTCGTGAAAACCGAAACAGATAAGCTGACAAAATATCTGGACCTGGCTCACGAGGTGACCGACATGTGGGATGGTCTGCCGAACGAAATTATTCCTGTGGTCGTTTCTGCGAACGGGTTAATCCCAGTTAGCCTCTCGGGTCATCTGAGGCGACTGGGACTCCGTGACGGACCGCTCCAAGCTCAAATGCAGAAGGGGTGCTCCTCGATACCGCCCGCACCGTCCGCCGGTTTCTTTCCCTTTTCCCCTAACCCTCGGCCGTTTGGTCTCCCCTGCCGAGGGCTGTGATATGGTTGGGTTTTTATACATGTATTTTTTATGTATTTATTCTATTTTATTGATATTTATGTATGTTTACCATGTATATATTTATACTGCCCAACCAGATGAGAAAACTTTATCGATACCCCATAATAATTTATTTTATTTTATTGATATTTATGTATATTTATCACTTTCATTTACATTTATATATTTAAATAGGCCAGCCATATTAGAAAACTTATAAAGTCCCCACATAATAATAAGCTTTATTTCTTTACAAAATTACAATTTAAATATCATTACATTTAAATATTAAGTAACTTACAATTGCTAGTTGTAGAGACTGGTGACGATACTAGGATTTCCTGTGCTAGGTGCTACAGCCATAAGCTTAAACGGAGTTGATCTTACATTGCGATGTTCGTAAACGCACTTTCAGTAAGAAAGAAGCAATAGCGTTAACGAATATATAAACTGCCAATAAAAATACATCATAAACCGAGCATCTGACAAGCAATGACCAAAGAATATTTTTTTAGGTCATTGCTGACAAGTATATTTATAGTATATTACCTGTCTCACTACGGTTAATGCTGGCGACACTTTATTAAATGTCAGTGCGGCGGTAAAAGAAATTGAATGAACGTCGATCTAAATCAAGAAATTCACTGAGTTTTATTTTTGCAAGAGTATTTACAATGGACGAAGATGGGGAAAGTATTTTGCTGGAAGACAATTACTATCAATTACTAAATGTATCTAAGACGGTAAATATAATATCACGTTTCCTGACAAAGTTTTGCTATATTATTGCTACATTATTATATAACTCCAAGATTATGTCGATAATAAGTAGATAAAAAATAATATATGTTAAAATGTATAATTCTTGTCTCTTATGTATTTTGTATGATTAAATGCATAATAATATATTTCTATTCGTATGTCCGTGACGGCTGTTTTGAGGTTATACTTTAAGGGTTAATATTATTTTGGTATTTAAATACAATATTTAATAGAACACTTAAGCAATAATAAGAGAGTTTAGTTAGATTCCTCTTGTAGGATAATTTTTCTGATTTGTCAATCTCATTTTTCATATAACTACAACAGCTATAATAATTGTCATAAAAAAAAAAACTAAATAGTTCTTAATATTTTTCATGGATTGGCTATAGACATCCAGTTTCAAATTTAATGTTAACAATGGATTGCAGAAGGATTTTTTTATAGAATTAGGGTGATAAATGAGCACACACTCCACCTGATGGTAAGTGGTTGCTGTGACCCATAGACATCTATATATATCCTCAATAAAGAATCAAAATGCGAAAGCGCGTAATTTTTGAGAAAAAAGTTATTGAAAATCAATTATTCTTGCATTGTTTATGTCTAATCCTACAATAAAACTGACGCCATTTTTTATTGTTATTGTCAGTAGGGATGTCGATTCTTTCCGAAAAAGGTCGATTTTTTAAATAGATTCGAATTGTAAGCTGATGTATTGATTCCCAAAAAAACGATTTCTAAAATATCTATATTTTTTTCATGTTTGCATTTATAATGTAAATATAAATCCATTTTATGAGAAAAAAATCCCCTTCATCATAAAATATAGGGGGACTGATTCAGAAGGATTTCTGTATCTCCGGCGCTGCGGGAAGAGCAGCCTCTACGCCTTAGCGTAACAAATCGCAGGCATCCCTCCTCGCCTCCGCGCCTACGATTTGTTACAGCAGGCGGAGGCTGCTCCGCCTACATGCCTCCGGCTCTTTAAAACCACTCTAGGGGTAGGACAAACTTGTACCAGGTGGAGTCGGGGTCAATCAATTCGGTTCTTTGACATAAGTTGAACCTAACATATTTTATTTGTTATCTGCCCTAATTGGTAAAATAACACAAATTTCAATAAGAGATCATTTATTATGGTATCTTTCTTGTTTTTCATTAAATGGAATTATATTTACATTATAAATGCAAACATAAAAAAATATAGATATTTTAGAAATTGATATTTTGTGAATCGATACATCAGCTTATGATTTGAATCAATTTAAAAATCAACCTTTTTTTAAAAAGAATCGACATCCCTACTGACGACAATGACACTACAAAATGGCATCAGTTTTATGGTAGGATTAGATATAAACAATGCAAGAATTATTGATTTTCAATAACTTTTTTCTCAAAAAGTGTGCTTATAATAGTGTAACTTTTCTGTAAAATTACGTATCAACCCCCAACTCGACGGGAGTCAATGGAAAGTCGTACCAAAAGCTACTTGGGAGTTCATCAGAGCATTAAATCAAATAAGACAAAATTGTCAACGAAATTGTAATGCAAGATACTAAAGCCAACCCTTATATAACTGGCATTTGTTAATAAAACAAGTTTCTCTAAAAATACGTATCAACTCAATGGGAGTCAATGGAAAGCTAAGCCTAGCTTTTTACTATTAAATATGTATTTTCAAGAAATTATTTGTAATGTGAATATTATATATAATTGGGGTTATAAATAAGTAACATATTTATTACAGGAAATATGATAGAAAGAGATAGATAGAGGTTAGAGGTGTAGGTGTAACAATGGTAACACCTGCCTCCTTCTTCTAACATTGTATTAGGTGATATAAAAAATATAGATATTTCAAAGAAATAAAGTCATTCCATTTCCGCTTTTAGTTTTAGTTTTGAAATGTTTTATGTGTTTTATGTTACATTATTTCCACTTATACCTAAAACTTGGTGCAGTATAGTCTTATTAAATTAAATAATTATGACTTGCCTGATAAGATCAATAATAAGAAATGACCTATCAAGTATTATCAGAGATAGTAGGTTGTAGGTGCAGCTGTGTGAATTTTTTTTATAAACTATGGGTTCTGCATGTGGGGTATGCATTTTTGTAAGGTAAGGTTATCTCTCTCTCAAAATGAAAGAAGTGGTTATATTAACTTATTTAACTAAAGCCTGATTATTTAATAATCAGATAAAACCTGGTGGAATATAAAAGTGAAACCATTTAAAGATTTATTCATTTAATTGTAATTTTTAATTTGCTTATTTTTTTATGATATCCCATGATACATTTCACAATAGTTTTACATAATTGCTGTATTATATATAATATTAAAGGAATTAATCAATTTCCAAATCCTCCAATTATAATTGGTATAACTATAAAAAAATTATAATAAAAGCATGAGCTGTTACAATAGTGTTATAAATTTGATCATCTCCAATTAAAGATCCAGGATTACCTAATTCAGTACGAATTAATAATCTTAAAGAAGTTCCTACTATACCTGCTCAAATACCAAAAATAAAATATAACGTTCCAATATTGTTATGATTTGTTGAATAAAGTCATTTTCACTAGATAAAATGGCTGAGTATAAGTGATAAATTGTAAATTTATTAACGAGAAAAATCTCTTTTATTATTTAGTCTTATAGTCAATAATGATATAAAATTGCTGTATATGCTTTTAAACGGGGAGGAGCTGAGCCTTGTTGAATCCACAGTTTTTCTTAACTCAATCTCACACATTTAAACTCAAACTCGGCTCACTTAGTTCTGCAGCATATGCTGTAGAAAAGATTAGAGGCCTACATGTTATGAAACAGCTGGATTAGTTTATTTTAGCTTGCTTTGGGGTATTGAAACTATTTTTGTTTTGCAGAAGAGAGCCATAAGAGCAATATATAACTTAGGTCTGAAGGAATCCCTTAGAAATTAAAAAAACAAAATATATCAACTTTAGCCTCTCAGTATATTTACGAAACTTTAATGTATGTTCATAAAAACAAAACTAGTTTTATTAAAAATAGTGACATACATTCTGTAAATACTAGGAAGAAGCACAACTTAGTGATACCAGTTACTCGACCCCAAAAAGTCAGTAATTCCTTCATGGGGCAATGTTTTACAACAAAGTGCTTTTACAACAAAGTCCCAGAAAATATGCAGGACTAAAATATTTATTAAGCAAAAATTATTTAATAATAATAATAAATAATAATAATAAAGCTTTATTTCTTTACACATTTACAGAGTTAACAAAAAGAAATAGTAATACTAATAATAAATACATAGAACTATTCAAAATTAATTGTTGGTTTATGTAGTCCTTCTTGGGTAAAAGCCTCCTCCAACTTGAACTATTCTTTGTGGTTTTTGCCAATTTGCATCCATTGTTCTCCTGCTGTGTTAATAATGTCATCCACCCACCTTTTCCTTTGCCGTCTTACACTCCTCTTGCCAAATGGGCCCTTCCATTTTGTTGTTTGGTAGGTCTATTTTTTGTCCTGATATCTAGCTATGTGTCCTGCCTATTTCCATTTTTGTATTTGGCTATGCTGAAGTGCATCTGTTAATTTAGTTATCTTGCGGATATCTATATTTTTTGTATTCTCCTTAATTTAAGGATGCTTCTCTCCATAGCATGTTGGCAGGACACAATTTTGTTTTTCACTTTTTCAGTATACACCCATGTTTGGCTTGCATATGTTAGACTTGGGAGGATACACGAGTTCATTATGACGTTTTTCATTCTTAGCCTGCAATTTTCTTTAAGAATTTCTTTTTGAGCCCAATATTTTTTCCACGCTATGTTTATTCTTCTGTCTATTTCTTTTTCATTGCTGTTTAGTTCGAAAGATATCAGTTTGCCTAAATATACATAGTCATCAACATATTCAATGGAATTTCCTTCTATTTTGATTGGTTTTTTGGAGCTGTTTGTAATAATTTTTGTTTTTGATAAATTAATTTCAAGTCCTACTTTTTGGCTCTGGGTGTTCAGGCTCTGAAGCATGATTTCTAATTCAGTTGCAGATTCACTGAAGAGAGCAATGTCATCAGCAAATTGTAGGTGTGTTAATCTTTTATTATTATCCATATACCTTTGTTTTCCATTCTAGGTTTTGAAATATGTCTTCAAGGACGGCTATCACTAGTGTGGGTGAAAGGGCCTTGCCTCACTCCTTTCCCAATTTCGAACTCTTCTCCGTGTCTTTTTAGTTTTATTTTGCTAGTACTCTTAGCATATATGTTCTTTAGCACACTAATGTATTTTTCATATATTTTTTCTCAAAGCTTTCCATATAGATGAATGTGATATGCTATCAAACGCCTTAGCATAATCTACAAATGCTATGTATAACGGCATGTTGTATTCTTTGTATTTTTCTATTATTTGTTCCATAGCGTGTATGTGATCCATTGTTGAGTAGTGTGGTCGGAAGCCTGCTTGTTCTATTGATTGGTTTCTGTCTATGTCTGGGGCTATTCTACTTAGGATTATCGAAGAGAACAGTTTATAGATTGAAGATAGTAGACTAATTGGTCTATAATTGTTGATGTCAAGTGGATTTCCATTTTTATAGAGCAGTATTATGTTTGAGCTGCACCATTATTTTGAAATTTGTTCTTGTTGTATGATTAAGTTGAATAGTTTCGTCAGGTAGTTTACTAGAATAGGTGACCCTAGAGCTTCATTTGTGATTTTATCTGGTTCTGGGCTTGTTTCAGAGTTAAGTCTTTTTATATGTCTTTCTATCTCCCCTTGTTATAGGAGTCTTAGTTCAAGTAAGAGTTCTAGTTGAGATTCTCTTGTGTGTTTAATTTCCGATTGTTCATCATTTTGGGTTTCATCTTGGGATGTTCTTCTGTAAAGCTCTGGGAAGAAAGCTGTTGCGCGCTTTACTATATCTTCTTTGTTTCTTGTTTCCTCATTTCCATCTTGTAGACCTTGTATCCAGTTTTTATGCGTTGACAGCTCTTTAAAGGCTCTCTTTGAACTTTTATATGTTGCTATATTTCTCTCTATGATTATTCTTCTATGTCTTTCGTAATCTTGCCTGATTGCTCTGTTTGTCTTCTTATATAGTTCTTTTAATTCATGTCTCATTTCTTTAGATTTTTTCTTTTAGATAAGAGTTCTGTACGTTTAGAAATCAGTTCTTGTGTTAGTTCGGTAATAATTTTTGGTTTTTCGTTACTGGTTTTTAATGCTCTATCCTGTTCTAGACTACTTGTGATGGTTTTTTCCAGCTCGTCGCTCAGAGTTTGTACATTTTCTGTGTTCTTCATTGTTTCTTCTAATGTTGTTGTATTTTCTTTAAGCTTTTCTAGATAAGTTTGTTTTTCTTTAGATGTCTTTAGCATGTTATTTGGGGCTTTAAAAGATTTCCTGTTCATTTTTGGGGTTCGGAGATTCAGCGAACATCTGACCAATTTATGATCTAATGGGAAACTTATATTGTTTAAAACCTCTAAATTTGTGATTAATTTGGGGTTGTAACTTAGTATGAAATCGATTTCGTTTTTTGTCTTGTTGTCTGGAGACATCCAGGTCCATTTGCGCGAGTTCCTCTTCTTGAAATATGTGTTCATCACTGATAGTTTGTTTTCATATGCGTATTGAATTAATAGTTCCCCTCGTTGATTTCGTTGGCCATATCCGTACCGTCCCATTTTTATATGTTCTTCATGTATCGGGTACCCGATTTTTGCATTTAAGTCTCCAATGACTGGTAGGGACTTATCTGCTTGTTCTTGCGCTTTTTGTAAATCCATGTAGAAACTTTCAATTTATTCCTCGCTGGAGCTCTCTCAGTGGGGGCGTAAACTTGAATAATAGACAGGGATACCTTGTTGAAGCTCATTTTTAACAAAGCGACTCTTTCTGATATGCCTACGAAGCTCACGATATTTTGTTTCAATGTTTTCTTTATTAAGTAACCTAATGTCTCGCCAATATAACGGAAAATATAATTGTTATGTTCTTCTATACTGTACCCTAATTGTTTAACTTCGGTGAGTTCTATGATGTCCCAGTTAATTTTGACTATTGCATTTTCTAATTCTAATAATCTTGTCATTGATGATAGTGATCTTACGTTATAGGTGCATATTTTCAAGTTGTGTAGTTCTTCCGATATAATTATATATATTATATATTCCGATTATAATTATTGGTATTGGTTTTATTCAATGGAGGGTTGTGGTCTTCTTCCCCCACGGTAACCAGCCGGCTTTTGGTGCTGATTGTTTTTATTTTATTTTCTTGTATTGTTTGATTTTTCTTATCCGGATTCCAGTTGAGGGAGGCAGTTTTTAGTTTTTTTTGAAGTTTTTCGCTCAGACACCGATGATGCTCTACCTCGTGCCGCATAATTGAGTATGCTTGGTTTTACTATTCCTTGTGTATTATTTGTAGATGGCTCATTAATACATTTGTCAGTAATCTGTTTCTTCTTGGTGTTTTTTATTATTTAATTATTTAATACTATACTACTAAAGAGTATATGATTGATAATAACCCCTGGGAATGAGGTCATTGCTACCATGCTGTTTCTAAATGTTTTCATACTATTTGTACAAAGTAATATCTTGTAAATTAATTTTCTTTAAAAAAAAAGCCCCATTGGATTTCTAGCTGGTTCTTCCCAGGACAGAGGTTTGTTTCCGAAACAGTAAAAGTAAAAAATGACTTTCAATAAGAATTACATGTAATCTATATTGAATAAAATGATTCTATTCTATTCTATAATATTGATTATTCTGTAAATCATTATTTTACACATTTTTTACAAAGGGATTGAAAAATACTGATTTTTGAAATTGAATTGGCCAACTAACTAATTGAAAACTACAACAAATAAAAATCAACTTAACAACATTTATTTAACCTTTATCATTTACATCTTTTACAAATTTAACAGGCATCTACAGAAGAAATAAATAGTGCATATCGCCGCTTCTCCCGTATGTTTCACCCTGACAAACACAGCACTGATCCCAACAAACAAAAATGGGCTGAGCAGATATTTAACAAAGTGAAGGAAGCTTATGAAGTGCTTTCAGATTCCCACAAAAGAGCCATTTATGATACGCTAGGTAAAATATTTGAGTTATATTCAATATTTTATATTACTAAATTTTCATTGGCAATTTTGGAATTTTGAAATGGAAATTTTGCTACCATAAATATTTATATGTTAATGCAATAATTATTTACAAATGTATGAAATTAATAATTAAATATATCACTTTATTGCCACATTGGAAAATTTGTACATGTGAGCGTGCTTGTGTACGATTTGCGTGCTTGCGCCCTGTCATGTTTGTGTATATGTATGTATATAATATATAATAAAAAGATTATGAGGAATAAGTATTTACTACTATAAGTATAATTTGAGATATTGTTTTAATTGTTCTAAAACTTAAAAATCTTCAGGTAAAAGGGGTCTAGAAGTTGAAGGATGGGAAGTTATTTTTAGGACACGGACACCAAAGGAAATAAGAGAGGAATATGAAAGGTAATTGACTATTTGTTGTTCATGATATAATATCAAATATTTTTTATTGTTAATGAACATAATACTATGCAGCATGGATTTTAGTAAATTGTATTGTGTAATTGTAACAATTATAACCATGGTTTTATCCTACCAGGTTAAAACGAGAGAGAGAAGAACGCCGCTTACAACAAAGTGCTAATCCACGTGGTACTATTACGCTATCCATAAATGCGACAGATATGTTTATGAAATATTATGATGAATATGAAATTTTGTAAGTATTTAATTTTATTATAGTTCAGTGTATAACATTAACTATATCATTTATGTTTTTGTAAATAAATATTCATATTGATTTAAAGTAGGATAAGGTTGTTATAAAAATTAAATTTTACATTTATTTTTACTGTTAAAATATTATTTATTTTATTTTAGACTTCTTTAAATATAATACTTTTTAAACATGAAATAATCTCCTTTTTTAGAGAAGAAGCATCAATAATACCCAATATTGAGGTGTCAGGTATGACTATACAGCAATCAATTGATGCACCAGTTACCTTACGTAACACTATGACACTATCGGGAAATATTACTACACAAAATGGCATAGGTAATAATTGTATATTCATGCTATATTATAAAGCTATTGTGTTTTTTTTTTATTAATACAACTTGATTTGAAATGGATGATTGATGTTTGGAATAAAAATAATTTTCATAAGAATGTTTGAAAAAATATTAATTATAATACAAGTAACATTCATAGATTTTACAGTTAGGAGTGCAACATAGATTTAACTTATGATTAATAAATTATTGTTACAGGCACAGGATCGGTTAATGTATCAAATAGGCATTTGAGTTCAGAGAAGGGGTGGACAGAAGTAGAGTGTGGTATTGGTAATGGGCCTCTTCTTGGGTTCAAAGTGTTCCGCACTCTGTCTCGGCTGATGTTCCTTAACTGTGGCACAGTGTTACAGTTCACTCCCAGAGGGATTGTTCCTAGCCTTGTATCAAGTAAATATCACATTTTGTTTATATTTATTTTAATCATCTATAAATTACTTTAATTTTAAGATGAGTATAATTAATTAATAAAACTATTTTTATTATTCAAAAACTATGGTAGACTTACTTGATTAAATTAACATTTAATACATTTTACACTTAAATCTGTTGGGCCATGCCCGTTACTCTGGTTCTACTGCGGGTATCCTCGTTTTTAAGTCTATCATGCAGAGAAACCCCGTGCATAGCCCTCTTCAAAACTCGCTGAGTGACCTTAAGCTTCCTTGTACGGCCAGCAGTGAAGGACCACGTCTCAGTTCCATAAGTCATCACTGGCAACACGCACTGTTTGTACAGTCACGTTTCAAGTTTTAAAGATGTGTCATGAGACTGGATACACAAATCGGAATATCCAAAATATTTATTGCAATATAAAATGGGACCATTTTAATAACCTTTTTGTATTTAAACTGATCCACTTACACAGATTTTGCTAGGCTTCTTACTATATTACATATGCATAAATACTCACGCCTGTCACCCAGAGGGGTAGGCAGAGACTATGTACTTCGATTTGGCACGATTCTGACATACCTCTCTAGTCTCCTTTACATCCATATACCTACGTATTCATGCTCATTGGTTAAGGGGCCTATTAATCTGGCCCATCTTCAATATATCGCCAATTCGGTCGTTAAAATTTCGTTTAGGGCATCCATTCCCGACTCGGCCGTTGACTTCATTCATTCTTTCGACATGACCAAACTGACGAAGCATTCCTTTCTCAATGCTGGTCACAACATCATCTTGCAAACTACACTTTTCTCTTATCATACTATTTTTCAACCTGTCATTCAGATTCAGCCCTAACATACTTCTTAATGACCGGATTTCTGCAGCGTTTATTCTACTCTCGTGATTTTTCTGCCATACATTAAGGTAGGGACGAACACAGCATTGTAAATTGGCATACACGCACATACATCCGCTGAGCGGTTTCCACTAGAGCTGCGCTGGGAGCGACCAGGTAAATGAAGTGATTCTATTGGTTCTTAACAAACACATCCCTTGCTACGCATTCTCGTACATCTCTGGTGGAAACACTACTTTCACGGATTTCATCGCGTTTAATTCTACTTATTTTTAATTCCCGACGTGCAAAGCATTTATTTAATGTAACCAGTGGTAATTAAACAAAAGAGTGACTTTCAATAAGTATTATTTATAATATATATTGAATAAAAAAGTTTCTGTTTCTATTAATACAAGGTTAATTACTAAAACAGTGTGGGTGATAACTGTGCAAAATTAACAATTTTTTGATATTGTAAGACTCTTTAAAAAATCTCCTAAGACATCTAGGTTGTATTTTTATTTATTTATTTATTTAACACACCATAATAAGGGATTTAAAGGATGGACTTAATGCCTAATGGCATTCACTACCAGTCAACCCTGATGTATTATATAGTATTATATGATTAAAAAAAGTAAATACAACGAGATTTATTATACTGCATTTGATGGTGTGACAGCAGAGAGCCTGCGCATTGTGTATGCTTACTGCTGTCACCTTTCCAGCAACAATTGGTTAGTGTGTAATTTTTTGTTAAATTTGAATACTTGTTTCCAGCAATGGCATTACAGCTGGATGCGCATTCAGTGGGATACCTAACATATCGCGCGGGTGGCCAAGGGGGTTCTTCTATGACCTCTACATATGTACGTGACTCCGAAAAGTACCACACAAATACTGCCTTACAGATCGGGAATCCTCACTCGTTTATTTCTTTCAATGTAATGAGAAAATTGCCACAACATGATATGAAGTTGAGACTAGCACTGAAGTAAGTAACTATCCTTTGTTTATTCTCATTTGTTAATATTATTTATTTTACTATTACACTTCGTGATTAATCTTATATTAGTTAATAATAGAGCATTTTTAATGACTTTAGAATTAACATTTAAACAAATTAACTATAGCTGAGCGATAAATGTATAAACTACTAACTACTTACTCTAGTCAATTGGTTTTAAAGTGTTTTGGAAACAGGTTGCAATTTGTAAAAAGCTATTAATCTATTATGGAACATTCACTTGAAGTAAGATATGTACTTTGTATGCACCAGTGTTGACCCTGTGCAAATTATGAATCCTTTTTGACATTTTTTTGCCATTAATTTTTAATTTGTGTAATTTGTGTTATGTATTATATTATTTTTCATTAATCATTGATATTTCATCATAATGGAAGTGCGATTGCACTAATAATAAATTGCTAATAATAAAATATTGTCAGTATGATTGTATTTTGCTGATAATCTTGCTGGGAAATTGACAGAGATACTCTTGCTACAATGTTATTGTGCAACACCTTGATGTGTGGTATAACTATATCGATAAGCAATTATATTTATACAATTAAAGAAACATTGAAGCTATGGAACTGAGTAAAGTAAGATAAATGGAGGCCATAGTAGCTGTTGATATTGTTGCAGCATTTATAATGATCATCATTCATCATTACTGACCTTCACAAGACATTACTGTCCTTCACAAGACATTACATAGATCTCCAAGTATTGCCACAAAGCTCAGTGCCACGCCACCTGCAGTAATCGATTTCTGCATGGCCTACCAAGTTGTCATCATGTAGTTATCGTGATATTTTATTAAAGAAACAAACCTAAAAGGCCAACAATTGGAAACTTAACATAAACATAAACTTTTTTGTAGTAACATCTTTACATACTACATAAAATACATGTTATCCATAATTCATAATTAAAATGTGCATTCTCTGAACTTCTCACCACTTCAAATTTCTTAATTTTTAGGGTTCCGTACCCGACTGGTAACTAACGGGACCCTATTACTAAGCCTCCGCTGTCCATCTGTCCGTCCGTCAGTCTGTCTGACAGTGGACTGTATCTCATGATCCGTAATAGGTAGACAGTTGAAAGTTTCACAGAATATGTATTTCGGTTGCCGCAATAACAACAAATAATAAAAATAAATAACAAATTAAAGGGTGCTCCCCTATTAGAAACGTGTATTACAATGGTACGGAACCCTTCATGTGCGTGTACAACCGACTCTGTACTTGGCCGGTAATTTTTGAGTTATTTACAAATATTTTCTCATTGCTTTTAAGAATTTTGTAATACATTTTATTCATAAACTTATTCAATTTATTCCTTGGCCCTCGTTAAAGGGGTAATTATGTGGCAATTTATAACTGCAGTTTCAGAGCCGTCTGTGCACTTGCCGTCATTTCATAGCCCGACAGCGAATAGCTTGCTAGATTGTAAGTGAATTAACTCTGACATTTATGGTTACACGCGGGATAATATTTATTTCATCCTGCTCTGTTGTATGAGCTTCATCTCTTTCCATTCCTTGCGCCTTGGTAGTCTTAGCCTTGGTCCATTCCTTAGTCTCCGTTCTTTAAGTTTAGATCTTTCCTTGAGTTATTTATATTAGCGAATTCAGCTAGTACTGCGAAAACATTTACAACTAATTGATCTACTTCTGCTATTGTTTCCGAATCCACTCATATTAATTTGTCGATTGAATAAAGGAAAAATGTTAATCTGTATAAGTCAAAAGTTATACCGCGCCGTAGTTTATTTCGCACTAAAATCAGAATCTATCGTTTTAACTTTGCACTAAGCAAATTAATTATTGATTTATGTATCAAGTTGGCAGGTAGGTATATAAATGTCTTACATGACAGCCATTGTTGTTTATATTATCATTATGTAATGTTCCGTTATATTGTGTTACTGACATATTTGTTTTTATAATTTTAATAACTCCAGTACCTAGTAGATGAACGTTAATAGCATTGCATGTAAATTATGTGCATGTTTCAATCACATAATAATATTATATGGTTATTTATTATCTTTTATCTTGTCGCAATGCACCTGATTTAATGGAATAAAATATTTTACTTTTACTAGTTTATTTTATTTTGAGATTTTATTGATACAACATATTATCAATTATTTTCTTGGCCATGCGTTAATGTGATTGTATTTTTATATTATCATATTATGTCGCTCTCATTTTATAGACTTTTTTTTTATTTCAACATTATTATTTATCGCTATGTCATTGATATGATTGCTAATGTACGTAATTAATCATTAATCATATACATATATATTTGTAATAGATTTGGCACATTCGGCGCAATAGCTGAATATGGAGCAGAGAAGAAAGTGTCACAAAACAGCAGCGTTTCCGCGGCGGTTATGTTGGGTGTGCCAAGTGGAGTTATGCTCAAACTCAAGTAACTGTCATACTTAAATTATGTGCCATTTTTGAATTGCAAGATTTATATACATTTTAATATTAATTTGAGGTTGTAGTTGAATAGAATAGATCTTGTATATGGTAGAGCCATGCTGCAAATATATTAGTAGTATAGTTGTAGCACGAATAGGTCGACTCGACCGGGGTAGGACCACGCTCTCACAGAATACCAGCGTAAAATAGCAGCTTAACACTGCTGTGTTTCGTATGGTGAGTGTAGAGAACCGGAGACCCTTTTTATTGGAAACGAGGCATTCCATCTTAGTCCTCACGGGTGGCAACGCATCTGCATTTTGATTCGCAAACGAGGATAGATGTAGATGTCTATGGGCCACAGCAACCACTTACCATCAGGTGGACTGTGTGCTCGTTTGTCATTCTATCCTATAAAAAAAATATAGAAATACTACGAAAGTTAATCGGAAATGCATTATGTTTGAGTATATGTACCTGTTTCACTTCGATAATTTTTCTTTTTTTATAAGTTCATAGTGATAGTCTTATTTCTAAGTTTATCGTTTACTCGCTGAGCGAGCAGCAAAGACCCATGTCTCATATTCATAAGTCATCACTGGCAACATGCACTGGTCGATATACAAGATTGAATTATATTGATATTTTATAGTATATAAGTTTATTGTATTTATATACATATACACATATATATATATATATATATATATATATATATATATATATATATATATATATATATATATATACACACACATATATATATAATATTAGTTTATTTTTAAGTCTATCAGTAGTTTTTTTCCTGGATTTACTCTATTGTTCATTTTATTTTGTCACCTATGACGGATCCGTGGCGCAGTGGCTTAGAAATGAGTTACTGCGCTGGGGGGGCGCGGGTTCGAATCCCGCAAGGAACAAGTATTTGTATGGCCTACAAATAATTGTTCCGAGTCTGGATGTTTGTCCTTGTGCAATTTGTGTTTGTAAACTGCCTCCACAATACAGGAGAAAATCCTAGTGTGGGGGTAACGTTTTATAAGAATGAAAAAAAAACCTATCACTTAATTTCCGGGTTGACTGGGAGAGAATGCCTAAAGGCATTAAGTCCGCCCTTTGTAATCCTTTTATTAAGGAGCAATAAAGTATAAATAAATAAATAAATAAATAAATTGAAGTCTGATAAATATTTAGACAAGCAATTTAATGAATTAATCTTCTTCGGAATAAAATTCGCTTTAAAAGTGATATCTGCTAATAAATTACCTGAACAAGTAAACGGGCGTTAGAGCATGTAAAGTAATCCAAGGACTAGCCTCAATACTGTTCATTACCTGCTTTATTTCATTTACATCGTTATCAGCTTGTGGCTGTCCACTGCTGGATATCCATACGTCTCAAGGCGTGTCATTAGACCAATTTTGGTTTTAGTTGCTAGTTTTTTTTTTGGTTTTAAAAAGTTATACCTAAATAAACTTGAATTGTACTTTTGTACTAACTCACTGTATGATGGTTTCTGTGTCTTGTTGTGTCTTGGACACATCCAATACCATTACATGCTGTAAAAGTCCACTGCTGATCATGGGCCTTCTCCATAGAATGTCTCATTAGGGAGATTTTTCCATAGTTGCCACGCTTGGCAGGCGGGTTGGCAACCTTAGCTTTCTGGGAGCACGGCAGTGCCCCCGCCAAGTCTAGTTTTTGAGATACACCAACTACATAAATAACTTTGTAATCCCATATAAATATATAGGATTACAAAGTTACATTTGCAGTGAATGAATCAGTGTACCTATATATGTATAATATAATGGAATAAAAGGTGTAAATAGGTACCTATATAACTATCTACAAAAAGAAATGAGATGCCATCAAAAACATAACTTGTAAAAAAACCAAATCTCGCAACTCAGTTGTTCTACCGTAAAAAGTTGTGAGATCTATGTAATACCAAGTCGGTTAATTTATTCAGTCCCACTTACAGGTCCTTCTGTCTTAAGTTATTACGTAATTAGCTAATCTAACATCTTATAGTGACCATATAAATATTAAAAATCTTTTCTGTTTTAAATAGATTGACTTGGCCATCGCATGAAAACACAATGTATCTATCAAGTAATACATATTACAATAAATTAGATTGTTTGGTGCGATTGCCAAGTCAATTTATTTAAAACATAAAAGATTTTTAATATTGATATAGTCACTATAAGATGTTGTTAGGACCTGTAAGTAGGGACTGAATAAATTAACCGACTTGGTATTACATAGATCTCACAACTTTTTACGGTAGAACAACTGAGTTGCGAGACTTGGTTTTTTTTACAAGTTATGTTTTTAATGGCATTCATTATTTTCAATTGTTACCAGGAAGGTGCTGCTGCCTATGTCCTGTTTCAATTTCTCTCTGTCGCCTTTTACGACACCCACGGGACGATATGGAGAAGTGGATATTCTTACACCGCCAATACAAGTACTTGTTATGTATTAATAAATTTAAAAAAAATAATAACTTGTAATATCTGTTCATAGATGGACCTGTTCATCACAGACAATCGTAGTGCCCATTCACCTCTGCGAGGAAGTGATGCCATCACCGGTGTTTTATGCAACCGTGGTGCCGTTGGTCTCGTGGCTAGTCCTGAAGAAATTAGTACTAGATCCCATCGCTAGAGAGCGCCAGGAGCGAGAGAGACAACGCTCTATGGAGGCTAACTTTGAAAGGTGATGTTGAAGAACCTCGGTGTTTTATTTCCCTTAGAATATACGTCTTATTAAAAACGTAGACCCAACTTTAGTATATATACATATATATGTTATGGACCAAAAGATTAACCAGGTTACTATTTATAATGCCTGGGCAATATGAATAATGACAAGTATAATGTGACTACGTAATTAATACTCATTTAAACTTCATTATTGATCATATTGTCTGGTCATAACCTAACCTAACATAACCTATCTTTTCATTATTCCGTCCAATAAGTAACGGACTTTATTCAAAAAGCTCGGTCAATTTAATTATTTTAACATGATTTTAACAGTTTTTATCATATTGCCTACTCATATTAGACATTTTTTCAAACTGTCTGGATATTATGAATATAATTCAGTATGTATGTGATACATACTATGTATAAATATATTTAATGTTTAGATACGTTTAGATTGATAGCGATATAGAAAACAAGTTGGTAAATTTGTACTAGAGACCAACGTAAGTTTTCTATAGGGCAGAGTGCAATTCAAGTTTGACTTTACCATTATGCAAAGAGTGTTAACTCCTCAAGTGTCATGGCACCCGTAGGGAGTTGACAGCTTATGTATGCTCGTGTGTCAACCGACCCCTTGTATTTAGGCAATATGGCAAGTAATTCACTGTTAAATTAAAAGATAGACGCTATTTTAATCTTTGAACAACTTAGATTAAAGACAATACTGTAATTATACGTTTTCAAACGTTTTCGAATTGAACGTTTTCGATTGTTTTAACATGTTTTTGTTTTTTATCCCAGTTATGATTACTTTTTTAAGATAGCTATAGGGACACCAGTCTATCGTATATAATATTTTTCGATATACAACGTCCGTATAGCTAAAGTAGATTTTCCAGTGCATTGAGTCATTTATACAATAAAGTGTAAATAAACAAATAAATAAAGATGTCTCCTGTTCCCGCGAATTAGGGAACGTAATAATACGATTCCACACTACTCCATTTTGCCTAAGTAACTAAGTAACTGGACTCCATTATGCCCCCGTAACTTGTTATCTCTAATAATGTAAATTGTTTTATATTTGTAGGTTGCAGGAAATGCAACAACAAGCCAGAGCAACCGTCGAACTTATGCGGGAGACTTACTCTAGGATCAGAAGCGATGAGGAAAAGAAAAAGGGCTTAGTAATTTTACGCGCCGTATATGGAAAACTTCCTGCAGGTAAATTGGAAATTTAAGCTTAATTTGTTTTTCTTATAATATATTTGATGTTGTCGAGGGAATGCTTGATGTATTTAATTCCTTCAACTTTTAAGTCCGAAATATATACAATATTATTACAATATTAACACCAGTTTATTAATATTTTATGCAATGCGATCTACTATGTAATCAACCAATAAGCGAATGAGCGAATGATTTACGTAATTGTGTTTATTTTGTAAGTTCTGTTAGAAATTGCATTATAAAATTTAAAGCTAATTTATGAAATATTTTGAACATGGCAATTACATTTACGGTACATAAAAAGCGAAAACTAATATTTTTTGTATGTGAAACTATTCATATTATTTGATGATATTATTAAGTTCCTCTGTCATTCAAGAAACCATTATAATTATGTTCTCTATCTCGTCTAACGTGTCGCAGGACAGCATCGTAACTTCTAGAGTTTTTGAGCGAAATAGATGAAAATTTAAGAGTAGATCCTATTCTTTTGTAATTCGCGAATATTTTTTCTTGTCCATTTATAGTGTAATGTATATTTATTTATTTATTATAGTGTAAGTAATGTACTATAAACAGAGCGAGCATTTGTTATACTTTCTATATTAAGTAATATATTATTAAAAGACAGTGGTTTCGAAAATCACTTCTAACAATCACTAAGCTTAGTTAGAAACTAGCCTGTCACTATTTTATTTAAATTAGTGCAGCCCAAAACGAGATGAAATCTGATAAATAGCTCTTTCTCTATACCCTCTCGACTCCAAAGAGCAAGGCAATGTATATGCTTTTACAACAGTCCCAAAAATTTGCAAGACCCATCAAAAACTGTTTAATAAGGGTGTTATACTACTAAAGAGTACGTGATTGATAATAATAAAGGTTTTTCCGAACTAGTGGGAAAGAAAGTATACATGACAAAAGTACTCTTATAATTTATATTCAATAAATATTATTCTATTCTATTATATACATTCGCACCAAAATCATAAGGATAACTGTAGCGAAAGTCTCAGTTTAGATAATATTAGAAATAACCTGCACAGCGAAACTATTATTACTATAACTTCTATTTATACTCACTTTTTTCACCAGATGCAACAAGCCACGAGGTGGGTGCAGAACAAGCGGGAGATGGAGTTCCTCTTGATTCGCCAAGTGGCTATAGTGAAGCGATCGACGTCACTATACCGGTGCAGTGTCTTGTAAAAGACTCTAGGCTAGAGTTGCTTGAAGCTAGCAAAGTGAGTGCAATATCGAAATCTGGTATATTAAACTCAACAAAACTTGGTAAATGCTTTCTAAATGGTATTCTATTTTACAAAATTTTACATCTATTGTTAAGATGTCTATATTTTTATATCGAGTATTCCTTGTGCGACGGCATTATTGGCCTCATAAAAACCTGAGATTTGGTGTATTCTATGAATTTGCCCATACTGCTTTCTTATTTACTTATTTTCTACTTAAAAAAAACTGAAGTGGCAAACTAAGATTCAACCTGCCGGGCTAGTATGGGCAGGTGACAATTTTATACCTACGGAAAGGAGAAAATGTTTATCCCCTTGCTTAGTTTTATCCACCCTTCGAGCATGGGCACACCTGTGGATATAAAATCCACAGTAGATAAAATGGTCGATAGGCTTAGACTTAGATAGATATTTTGTATGAATTTTATATTAAACCCACATCTAATGAACTGGGATAAAATTGTCCATTTCAAATATCAAAAAGCATAATTTTTTATCTTTCATTTGGCTCCGTGCTACGGACGGGGGTTATATGTCTACTCGTTATGTCAAACGTGCATATATTTCTCCCCGTAGCCGTTCTTTGTCATAAGGACAAGATAATTTTATCCCATGTCAGTGGATATAATTGGTGGATAAATTTTTTGTCTCCAGCTCACGCTAGCCGTGCAGATGTCAAGTGGCAACGGCAGCTTATGGACAACTGCATGCCAATTTTAAATCCACATATATCTAGGAGTCCTACTAAAAAATATACCTACTAAGTAGCAGTGACTGCACTACTGTGTTTCGGCCTGAACAGTATAGAGAATGAGTATGTACCAGTACCAGTAGTAACAGGCTGCGTGGCATTCCATCTTAGTCATCTGAATTGACAACGCATCTGTAGTATTGAAGTTGTTCATAGGCTGCAGTAGCCATTTACCATCAAGAAGACTGTACGTTTGTTTATTACTTTAGTTTTATGGAGAGCAAAAAACGCATGGACAACATGTGACAAAAACATCCCCGTTGTATGAAGGCCTCTACTAAAACGAAGCTTTTGCCGTATATGGCAAAATATAATCATCTTACTTATCAGACCATGCTATGATAAATTCAGGTAAAGAGTTTAACATAACCAGGATTTAGTACTTAGGCCTTTCTCTGCAGGCTTATAACTCCTTCGTTAGATGTGAGGAACGGAAGAAGAGGTGGAAAAAGTATATTGAGCATGTGTGTTTCTGTGTGTTTAAAATGGTCGTATAATTTAAAATTTAAATTTTTGTACAACCGACTTCAATATTAATTATTAAGAATAACTCAAAAACAATTGGTCAGACCTTGATCAAATTCTTATGGGACTTAATCCACATGTGAAGCACCAGCTTTTAAATAAAAAAGAATCATCGAAATCGGTTCACCCAGTAAAAAGTTATGAGGTAACACACATAAAAAAAATATACAGTCGAATTGAGTACCGTCTCCTTTTTGAAGTCGGTAGAAAAGTAAACTTAGAGCCTACATTTCTTTTAATAGATTAACGGTTACAAACGGGCACGCAGTCCACCTGATGGTATGTATTGCTGTGATCTATAGACATCTACATCTAACTTCGATTAAGAATCAAAATGCAGATGCGTTGTCGCCCCTAAGGACTAAGATGAAATGCTTCCTTTCCAGTAAAACGGGTTTCTGGTTTTCTTATAATTACAATATGAAACGCAGCAGCATTAAGACCTGTTTATGCTGGTATCCTTAGAGTGTGGTCCTCCCTCGATCGAGACGACGCATTCGTGCCACAACCATAATGTAGCTGCAGCAACTGCAATATCATTCTTAAACGAGGGTATCAAGGAGAATCTACTTATTATCAGATGGACTGTGTGCTCGTTTGTCATTTTTATTCTATAAAATAAGTTCCGTGTTGGTAGATTTCAGACTTTAAAATATTTTCAATTTCTCACTCATGCAGCTTTTATTTTATGTGTTATCATTCACCGCCGAGGTCTGTGCGAGCCGAGCAAATCAACATTTAATATTGCAATTAACATTTGCATTGGTACTGGCGGGTGTAGAACTCTGCGTTAAATAAAATTTTAGATGAGCACTTAACACTGATCCTACTTCTTTAATCTTTACAATCTAGTTTTAATACCTTTAACGATGGATTTATCGTCATAGTCCAAATTATATCACAATCACCAACATAAATGCTGCCTTAACTATAATTTTTATTTTTAATTGCCTCGTTGTTCTAGTAGTTATAAACTTCACACGTGGTCCCAGGTTCGTTTCCTAAGTCAAGCTTCTGATCTTATCGGACTATGACTGTGACCGGAATAAAAAGTACACCTGTGCTTGTGCACACACTCGTGCACTTTAATTTAAGCCTGTCCGAAACTGTCGTGGCCGAAATTCGGCCTTGAGGACATTACATTATAGTTTTAATTAATTATTTGTTGATTTCAGTCGGAGTTGCCAGGTTTCTACGACCCATGTGTGGGCGAGGATAAACACTTGACTATACAATACATGTTCCACAACAACCTGCATTGTTGCACCGTTGCCGATAAACAAGCCGTTGTACTGCCACGCAATAGTAAGTAACTTTTTACCGGAGTAAAAGATTTAAAGAGAAACCTTCAAATAAACCAGTCTATACAAATAAATAAAATTGAAGTGTCTGTTTGTAATGTCAAAATTACAGTTTTTTACTAAACTCATATGAAAGTAAATACGGTACTTATATCTATACAAAAAAATAAAATTGAAGTATCTGTTTGTAATGTTAAAATTACAGTTTTTTTACTAAATGCATATGAAAGTAAATACGGTACTTATATCTATACAAATAAAAAGAAATTGAAGTGTTTGTTTGTAATGTCAAAATTACAGTTTTTTTACTAAATGCTTATGAAAGTAAATACGGTACTTATAACTAAAATACAATTTTTAAAATTTTTGTCTGTCTGTCTGTTTGTTCCGGCTAATCTCCGAAACGGCTGGACCGATTTTGACGGGACTGGCAGTTAGCTGATTTCACAAGGAGTAACCTAAGCTACTTTTATTTTAGAAAAATAATTAGGGTTTCGCGCAAAAACATAAAAACCCTAACACGCGAGCGAAGTCGCGGGGAACAGCTAGTATACAATAGGATACACTAAAATGCTGGATTACAATTTTTGTAAAACGTCTTTCCTAGTGTAGTCGTGTCGCGAGTAGTGAGTGGTGCTGGGATTATTGGGGATAGTGCAGAAGGAGGGCAGGAGGTGCTCTTCAAACTACAAGACACATCATTTTATTTTATGACGCGAATCTTAACAATTAAATTTTTGACTTCTATAAATATATTTCAATTATTTTTATATAAAAGGGGCAAACGAGCATGTGGCTCACCTGATAGTAAGTGACTACTTTTTTGCCCAGGAGTCTGGGTAGTTACCACTGACCAATTACAAGTACGCTGAACTGGCTATACACCGTGACATAATGAGGCGATTTGATTTCGGCCATTTTGGCGCTGATATCAGAAGTGAGTGTCCACGGAACTAATATTAGAGATAGGACAGTATGACAAAATACATCGTTAAAAATTTTATACCCAGGCCTACCAGTATATATGGAGGTCAGCGGTAGGTACCTATATTTGCCGTCAAATAACAGTGCCTGCACCAGTGTGTCCTGGTCTGTAGGGTATAGAGAGTCAGTATAGTTACATGATATGAGAAACTGCAGTAGCCACTTACTATGGACGTGTTACATGGACTGTCAGATGGTTTGTCATTCCAGTCATATCATCATCATTACAGCCCTTCACAAGTCCACTGCTGAACATAGACCTCCCCCAAGGAATGCCACAAAGCACGGTCCTGAGCCACCTGCATCCACTGACTTCCTGCATGTCTTACCAGGTCGTCACTCCATCTAGTGGGGGGACGCCCTACACTTCGTCCTCCGGTACGAGGCCGCCACTTGACAACCTTATTGCCACTTCAGCTTACTAATTCGTTGGGCTATATCGGTCACTCTGGTTCTACTGCGGATATCCTCATTTCTAAGTTTATCACGCAGAGAAACGCCGAGCATAGCCCTCTCCTCTCTCGCTTAGCGACCTTGAGCTTCCTCATCCGGCCAGCAGTGAAGGACCACGTCTCAGTACTATAGGTCATCACCAGTCATATAGAGTCATTCAGTCATATAGAATAAATAAAAAATAAAAACGTGTGTGTGTACTTATGTACGCATGTAGGAAGTTATACTTTTTTTAGCGTAACAAAACAAAAAAAGCTTGAGAGACAATTACCCACTGAAGTTGTCGCTTTTAGGTGTCAGTGTGCGCGCACATCGTAACAACTTCATGGTGTCCTTTTTAGCTGTCGGTGTGCGCGCGTCGTAAAAATTCACTCTCATCATTATTCCCAACGCCCCAAAAGAAGTATAACTTCAAAATAAAATTAACTCGACTTTTTATTTATTTCAGATCATCGAGTAAAGAATAGATCCTGAAAATTAAAATCGAGGCGCAAGTACTAGCACCCTCGAACATTCTCCTAGCGTGTGCTGCGTCTGGGACGTTACAGTGGCGCTATTTAGAACTGAGGCCTGAGGTCATAAATCATTTGCATTTCTGTCCCACATGTACTCACATGACTTTTATACTGCGGTAGTGATGTGCGTAATAGCAGCTGAGGTGTACATATATCGATAAAAAGATGCCACTCGTTGCACATTAGTACTGTTATCGATATTTATGGCCCTATACCTCGGTTAAAAACGGCCGTAGCATATTTGTTGTTTGAATTATGCCGTTCTGACGGAATCCAGAATTTTTATTATCTACATCACTGAATATTATGAATAAATCGCCAACTGTTGAATTTAGTAAAAATTCGCATTATCATACGTTATACGACATTCCAATTAAAGAAAATTAAACGGCAGCTTCTTTTAATATGTTTGACGTAGGTGTAATTGTGCAATTAATGTGTGTTGTGTTGTTTAATGTCGATTCTATTTATTGTTATAATGTCGCTTGATACAGATCTCGAATTAATCGACATTTTTCGAATAATAAATAAATTTACACAATGAGTTTTTTTGTTTAGATTTGGTTTTAATTGTGTAATGCAGAGATTTAGAGCAAAAACGTTTCTATATGGGGTGTAGGTTTGAAAATATACTGGATTTTCCTTTGAATAGGTCATAATTAGTGATATGAGATATATTTATAGATATGTCAAATGCGTTTTAAATTAAAAGAGAAATGTATAGCTTATAACATTTATCGTAACTAAATTAAATAGGGTTAACGTAAAGTTCAAATCAAATTAAATATTTTATTATATTCGTATAAGGTGTATACTAAATTAGATACACATAATTGTGGTGATTGTCAAATCCTCCAAGATAAGCTTGAGAGGCATTTGTTTAAACGTAAATATCTATGTAAATTCGTGCTGCTATATATTAATATATTATATAAGGGACTGTTGACTACATAAAAACTAACGTTCTATTACAAAACGTGGTTTATTTATAGTCTCGGGTTTAAAGACGCGTCTTTGTCATTAAAGTCCCTTAGAGGAGCCGCAAAGCTCGCGAAATTTGACATTCGGTTATCAAATTCCATACTTAACATTGGAGTTTGCATATTTTCCGCGGAACTTCTTTATTGACATCCGACACTAGAGTAAAAATGAGACTAATTATGAACTATTTTTTGTAATAAGACTGTAATTATGTTCATTTGTATAATTTTTAGTACTGCGTTTCATTATACAACTGTAAAATACTTTATTTTGTTAAATAAACATTATAACGTTGAAGTTAGTTCTGTTATAAGTAGAATGCATTAAATGATGGTTTTAAAGCAATTTAGTAGTTTATGTTAACTTTATTAGTAGCTAATTTATACATTTATCTCATAAATAGACTGACACACGCTAATGAATTCTTATGCATATTGAACATAATATTATTATAAATAAAATATACTTTCCTATTACACATTTGTTCGAATTTTTAAGGAGGTCTCTAAAGTTGGATGACATGGTATTTAGGAGGATATTTGGGTGTATGTATGTATATACAGAGGCGTACGAATCGAAAATGGCGCATATTGCACGCGTCATAGTTGCGCGCGCCCCTTCGTAAATTATTTTAATATAAAAAAAACCAGATAGGTACACTAAATAAAACAGACATAGATTTTACAAAACATATTTATTTCTATTTCACAACGAAAGTAAGTCCGTGAAACTGTTACACTTAGTAGCTCATATAAAATTTCTTGACATATTTTATTCATTCATTATTGCTTATCAAAAGTCCACTGCTGGACATAGGCCTCCCCCTTCTGTTCCTCCCTGTGTAATTATCTCATACAGTTTAAATACGAAAATATTAATTTTAACTTAATGAGAGATCTCTCACAACTTGTGATGGATACTGCAATTGTAAGCAGAATTTGAATAAAAATCTAAGGATTCCGAAATAAGTTTTCATCTTCGTACTGTACAATAAATTCAATCAAGTAACTCATAGATTTCTTTATGTTGATGTTTTTTCTTGTAGATATAGCTTTCGAAATTCCAAGATTTATTCGTCTCTCATTCTCATTCATAACTGTTTTCCGTTATTATCGCAACCGTAGAAGCCTCCAAATTCTTCACATTTCTTTTAAATCGTCGCAGTCGTCGGTACCATAAAAGGTACGGTAAAAGGAACAAAGGCGCAAGAAAGTATTCAAAATTGCCGACATCAAATTCTATAGGAAGCAGCTTTGCGAGCACAATAGTGCTCTGTTACTATACTGTTTACTAATTCAAAGGCTTAACCGGGAATTTTCGGGAATAGCTTGCTTATCCAGCTCCGACACCGGAGCAAGTGATTTTTGGTATTTTCGATATTTAAGGGATTTTGTTAAATGTCGATATATTTTTACATCGACCCCGCGCTCTTCGATATTCCAATATGACCAAATGGAACTGTTTCTGTACAACCATGACGATGATCCTTTGTACAAAGAAACGACAGTAGTAAAAAATATTCTGTTCAATACTACATTTTACCAAAATATGTACCTACATATGTTAAATATAAAAGTTTATAGTCTAGCATGGCGATTACGTTAGATTTAGATGACTTCGATTGTTTTCACAAATGCCGACATCAGTAGGGTGGGGCGGGGCTAGTTGAGCAATTTTTCACTGGAGTGGTCAGAGCTCCTCAACGATAATTTTTTAATGGCTAATTATATATACTGTTGGGTAAGTAATTTGTCCCTTTCCAAAAATATACATAGTAATTTATTTCTAACAAATCGCAATTAAGAGCTGCAACCGTTTAAGTGAAGAAAGTCAAAGATGTAACGATGCAACGTACCCCATAGGTGAGGTAAGTTGAACAAGGTTATGGGGTAAATTGAGCAGTTAGTAGAAATTGTAGCCACAAACCATGGGTTCAATATTTACTAGACATGAAATAAAACTTTTACAATCAACTTTATATTTATAGGTTTTTCAGTGACATAACAGTAAATTAAAAGTAATTTTCTTTTAATATTAAACAATAAACAACCAACAAAAACTCAACATATCCTAAGCTTAAGTTTTGGATTAGAACTCAGTGTGTCTACTTAAAATTAGACTTGAACATTTATATAATTATCAATAAAACTGTCTAGTATTAAAAAGGAAAATATTAATGAGATCTAGGAAACTTAATCATCGTGGTCGCTGTTGCAATTAGTACAAACAAAAGTAAGACCAGCAGCTGGCGCACATTTTATATGTGCCCACTCCCTGCAAACCCGGCTCTATGTTCCCCTGGTAAACTTTTAGAATAGTCTTCTTTTTTTTTATAGGAGAGGGGGCAACCGAGCATGCGGCTCACCTGATGGTAAGTGACTACCGCCGCCCATGAACAACTGCAACACCAGGGAGGGAATTGCAGATGCGTTGCCGGCCTTTTAAAAAGGAGTACGCTCTTTTCTTGAAGGTCCCAAGTCGTATCGGTCCGGAAAAATCGCTGATGGTAATCGATTCCACAAGGAAGTCGTGCGAGGAAGAAAACATCTTCTAAATCGCACAGTGGTGGACCGCCAATCATCCAGATGGTGTGGATGCTATCGGGAGTTCTGCCGCGATGTGCGTTCGTGAAATTTGGCGGCTGGGATTAATTCCTCAGAGCACTCCCCATGGTAGATGCGAAAGAAAATGCAAAGCGATGCAACATCTCTTCGCAGTGCCAATGAATCGAGCCGATCGGAAAGGGCTCGGTCGTCGACGATTCGAGCCGCTCTGCGCTGGATGCGGTCAAGTGGAAGGAGCTGGCACTGGGGAGCCCCTGCCCAGAGATGGGAACAGTATTTCATGTGAGGCCGAACCTGCGCCTTGTAAAGTTGCAGGCGGTGTGCCGACATGAAATACTGTCCCGCTCTGCTGAGCACGCCAAGCTTTTTAGAGGCCAATTTGGCCTTCTCTTCCAAGTGACCACGAAACTGCACGTCACTCGATATGTCGACTCCGAGGATACCGATACTGGCTGAGGCAAGACCCCTTCTTGCCTCAGCCAGTATCGTGCCTTGAAACTGAGGAGATACGACAAAGGGATTCTTTTTAGCGGTAAACGCGCAAACTTGTGTCTTCTGAGGATTAAACTGGACTAGATTTAGTCGCCCCCAATCCGAGACTTTGTTCACCAAAGACTCGACTTCAGACACAAGTTTCTTCGGAATAAACCAGGCAGGAAACTTACCCCTATGCTGAACTAGCCCCGCCCTACCCTATTTTACAAAATTGGCATTAAACTAAAGATATATAAGTCACTGAATTTACTAAATAGTATATTCCCACCGTTCATTCATTACTATCTCAAGGATAATTTCTTAATGCCGCATCCACACGCTTGGCAAACACTGGCAAACAGCAAACCCCAAACACAAACGTGTGGATGGTTGTTTGCCTGTTTATATGTTTGTTTGTTTGTGATTGCCAGTGATCGGCGTTGGTGTAGGTTTTTGTGCACCAATCAAAGGATGTTCGATAAACGTGTTTGCGATGTATCCACACGTTTGGCAATCAGTCAGTAGTACGCGCGAGCTTGCGGCTTGCGGGCGGCGGAAAGAGTTACTAGTGGCTATTATTATTATACTCTACGCCAATGTTACCAATCTAAAATTTGTCTTGGAGGTAAATATGATTTCAGAAGTTGAGTTTTCTAGCAATTTTACTTCGAAAAGTTAGCATATCTATCACCAATTTTTTTTAAGTTTTCTCTAGAGACCTCTCAGTAATAATGCGATACTCCTAGTTAATGTTTCTATTGGGTAAAAATATTTCACCTCTTTATAAGTAGCCCCATGTGAAAACAAGATCATTGATCATCCAGTCCCAAAATAAAATCCGAAAAAAATGAAAATTAATAACTTTGTAACGTTATTGTAAGCTGTTAAAAATAAACATTTTATAAAGAAAACGGCTCATATGCATTACTACTATTAGTGT